CCTCTCTAAGTTTATTGAAATTAGCTCTCTTGAAGTCCAAGACTCTAGTTTGACTGTGTTCTATTGCTTGTGCTTCCATAATGTTGAATTCCAATATTGCATGATCACTTCCTCCCAAGGTTCCTATGGCTTCAACACCTTCTATCATTTCATCTCTGTTAGTGAGAATTAGGTCCAAAATGGCTAATCCCCTAGTTCCTTTCTCTACTTTTTGGGAGACAAAGTTGTCTGCTAGGTTTGTCAGGAATCTGTTTTATCTTCCACTTGGTGCAGAGTTTGTGTCCCAGTTGATGGCAGGGTAGTTAAAGTCCCCCATTACTATTGTGATGTGCTTCCTACATACCTTAGTTAGCTGACTAGCAAAAAGTTCATCTATTTCCTGTGTTTGGTTGGGTGGCCTATAGTATACACCTATGGCAATGTCGTTTTCCCCCCCCCTTTTATATTGACCCACAGTTTTCATCATTGTTGTGCTCTATTTCTGTAGAGATGTAGTTATTTCTTATATAGAGAGCAACTCCACCTCCTCTTTTATTTGGTCTGTTTCTTTTAATAATTTAAATCCCTCTAGCTGTGTGTTCCATTTGTGGGTTTCGTCCCACCATGTTTCCGTTATGGCAACAATATCATATCTGCCCTCATTAACCTGAATTTCTAGTTCACCCTGTTTGCTGTTCATACTCTGTGCATTTGTGTATAGACATTTTAGTCCTTTATGACCGACCCTGTGTTTACTTCCTACATAACCTGTGTGGTACCTGAGTTCCCCTAATGTCTTACCACCTATTTGGTTAGTGCACTTTGTGTGGCACTCGCTATTAAGAGCTTGATTTTGCTTGACAGCAAGGTGGATGTTCTTGTCCACACACACATCTATGTTACATGCACTGATAGCCCTATAATTTTTAGACTGCCGGGGACAGGGATTTTCTGTATCAGTTAGCTCACTGTCTCCACTGTTTAGTTTAAATATTCCTCCAGAAAATCTGTGAATTTATAGCCAAGTAACTCAGTCCCTTTCTTTGATGGATGCAAACCATCTCTTTTGTACATTTCTTCATTGGATCAGCTGCTGACATCATGACTAATATATCCAAAGCCTTCCCCTTTACTCCACTCCTTTAGCCACATATTGAATTGTGCTATACACTGGCCTTTTCCATTTTGGTCCTTATACACTGGTAAGACCTCTGAAAAAATAAGCCTACAGCCTATTCTGCTAAGTTCCTGCCCCAGGCTCTGGAATTCATTCTGCACAGTGAGTACATCTTTTTGGGACAAATCGTTAGTGCCAAGATGTACAATAGCCTCCACATCACAGTCCTTGCTGGCATTCTTGATTATTTTACAAATACGCTTCTTGTCCCTACTGGCAGTAGCACCTGGAAGACACCTGACCTCATTTGAAACCTCTGTGTCCTTTCCTAAATTTACATCCCTTATAATTGAATCACCAACCAGAAGGTGGCTTCTCTTTTTGGGTGCCTTTCTGTTCTTGCATGACTCATGTGTAATACCTGATTCGCACTTCTCCCTGTCGAAAACAAGTTCTTCATCTCGGACCAAGATCCCCTGCTTATTTGAGTTGTCATCACAAATACCTTTACCTGTCTCCTTAATGTCCCTATTAAGGTCAGCAAGGGCACTGTATCTGTTATGCAGGGACACAGCAAAAGCTTTGTGTTTATGGTTCACAGCTCTCACCCTGCCAGATCCCACGGTTCTCCACACTGCCCTTCTCCTGCAGGATCTTTGTGGTAGAGAGGGCTGATAGCTTGGAGGCTCAGTGGAGTAGAAGCCTGAACTGGACACCTAATTTCTGCCTGAAGAGCAGAGATTACAGACCCTAGATAAGTAATCTGTCCTTGTAGACTAGACTAGTGTTTCTGAGTTTGCCCCACAGCTTTGTTCTGGAAAGAAGAAGGTTAAATTTATACCAGAATTCAATAAATACAGTGTATAATACAGAACCTAGCTTGGATGGAAGCTTTTCAGTCAGAGCTTACAAAATAAGAACATTATCAAAATTGAGATTCTAGCTCTGAAATCTGCCCACTCATCTGCCAGTGTTCAGATAAATATATATATATATATACAGACCTGATAAACATAGAATAAAGGATGGATGACCACCACTGTGTAAGGCAACGGTTTGTAATTGTGTTTATTTCTGAATTAAAAGTCATACTTCAGATAGAACATACCTATCAGCAGTATAAACATTGTCTATATAAATTAAATACCACTTTCCTTAAGTGAGATCTAAAGATGAGTTAACATTTATTCCTTAAAAATTTGAAAGAAATGCAGCTCATACTTTTAACACTCTCCTTGAGCACTTTTTTACTATCATGACATACGGTGGCTAATATAGAAAAACAGTTAATGTCAAATACTGCTGTCACAAAATACTAAGCCACAAGCATGGTTAGTAATTATAAATCCCCATTTTAACGTCACCCAGCCATTTTCAGAACAGTACATTCTGCTGGATTTTCTTTCCCAGCTGTTTCATCAGCTCAGGCCAATGTCCTTTCTCAGAAATATACCTCTAAACTGTGTTGTCCACGGATTTAGCCGTGTGACTCCCATTAACATCAATAAGAGTCACACAGTTAAATCTACGCACAGCACTTTGAAAATTTACTCCACAGCATACATCCCAGGGCACTGAAAGGATTAAAGTATTATACCGCAATTTCCCCCTTCAAGATACCAGAAAATAAACAAAAGTCTTCTGCTTTGTTCTAAAAGGCTTTAAGTTTCTTGGTGTCTCGACTAAGGGGGAGAAAAGATTACAAAATAGCCTAAAACAAGAGAAATATCAGATCAACACATTGTATAACAATTTGTGGTTTTACAATGGTCGATTATAATCAGGATACTCCATCCACCCTAAGGAATAGCTTAATGGATTTTAATTGACCACTGAACACAGCAACAAGTTTTTACAGATTTTATACTCCTATTCTAAATACTGGCATTTTCTTTTTAACTTTTAAAATACTCATGATTCCTATATAATGTAGACTGAACAAAGTTATACCTTCCAAATAATATGTTCCTGTTGACTTTTTAAATCTCTTAAATTTATCTTTTTATCTGTGGAAAATTTAATAAAGTAAATTGAGTAAAAAGATTACATTCTCAGCAAGGTAGATAAATTTACCCCCCCTTTTTTAATCTGAGGCTGCAAATGAGGCTAGTGGAAAACCATGTAAAGTGTACTAACAGTATATGCCTTTTTTTAAATTACTGAACTGATTTCAAAATGCGAAACATGCTCCACGTGAACATAGAACATATGAGCATCCTAGTCTTATCAGGATAAATTGTTTCCTACATTTTGATATTCCTGCTAAGGCCCTCTGTCTTGAGAATTATTATAAAAGGGTTATGGCCATTTTAGTAAAAAGGTCATCAGTTCCAAATAATTGGGGGGGGGGAAGAAAAATGAAAAAATAAAATAAAAACAAATTGTGTTGGGCGTTCTAACTATTCTAGTCATGTAATTGCTTCCATGTCTCTATGGTACCATTTATCCCCCTCACCCCAATTTGGAAACCATAGTGGGGGAGAATCAAAACAAAACAAAATAACTAGAGGGATAATCACTGAAAAGGGAATGGGGGGGGGGAATCGGCAAGGGATGGAAGGGATTGGAATCCTCCACACTGAGTCTTCTTGAATTCTGCCTAGCTCCTACATTAAGACTAAATATAGAAATATAAGAGAGTGATCTTGATATCCTAACCATAGAAAAATGCAACTCTGGATGGTTAATTACTGAAGGAAGAGAAGACCCAAGAAAATCAAGATTCAGGAAGATTTGCTCATTCACAAGTAAGAGTCTTACAAATGTGACAATCAGTACAAATAGAAATTGGGGCTGAAGAAAAGGGAATAAAGGAATTCAATACTGCATCTGCATCTGATGATGTTTCCTAGTTTGGTAATGAAATGTCTGCAGGAAAACAACCAAGGTCAGAGGCACCAAGGATCCCACAGTTCAACCTTGAACTACATATATTCTCTTCTATAAGTAATTCATTGTTCTCTGGAAGGATCCCCCTACAGCAATTTTAGAAAGAAATCAGCTGTTAATAGCAATGGGTGCCTAAAAGTCATTAAGCATATTACCTGTGGTTTGTGTCTTCCAATTGGAGGAAGAGTTGACATCATTTGAAAACCAAAGGAATCAGAATAAGTCTGCCATGGAAGATCCATAGCATTTTTCTCAATCTTCTTTTTGTGCCTCAAAGGTTTAGCTTTCTTTAATTGCATTTCCCACGGATCAGGTGACTTTCGATAGGGTGAATTATATATGCCTGCAATCTAAAACACAGTATAATTTTTTTATGTTTATTTGAATTATGTCATTGAAATCAATATAAGTAATATTTTTTAAAAAATTGTTTACTTTTGAATCAGAAAAGGACAAAAATATAATGCTTATACATATAATTAGCTTTTCACATCAACTACAATTTATTTTTTGAATTTTTTTTCATAGTTTTCAAAATTCTTTCAGCAGGAAACCATTTCTACTGGACTTTAGACACAACATTTAAAGCTATAGTGTAGCAAAAAGATACAAATTATATGATATTGTTACCTTACATGATGTATACATGTAATCCTCGACTTATGACCATATTGGATCCCAGAATTTTCATCATAAGTCATGACAGTCATAAGTCAAGGCAACCACATGACCAATTTTGTGGTTTTTTTGTGGCAGTTGTTGAGTACACTCCACAATCTTTAAATGAACATGGCAATCATTAAGTCATTATTTTTTGTTACTAGGTCATTAATTTTGCTTTCTCAGCCAGCTCCATTAATTTCACAATCCATTCTTCTGCTGTAGGAGTTTGCGTATCTTTCTACCTATGTGCCTATGTAAGTCTTGCTGCTATCATATATAAGAACAAAGTCACGTTTCTTCTCAGTTTTGTATCCATCTTATTTATCCATTCGTTAAGCAAACATTACAGTCAATAAGCAAATCACTGTATTCCTATGGGGGGGCTGTCATAACTCTGAATGGTCGCTAAGTGACCAATTGTAAGTCAAGAACTACCTTTATTCCATCACAGAGTTAGAATACATATAGGATCACAGAAAGATGTCTTAAAGGAAGTCAAATTATTTGTCCATCTAGCTCAGCATTATCTATTATGATAGTTTTATGCTCTAAATTTTTCCATTATTTTCCCATTATTTTTGCATTCTATTCTTTATGATAGGGCAGGATAGAGAGGCTGAAGGAGAAACTGACATGGATTCCTGCTCCATACCCGTTGTGTGTTGCATAAACATTATGTGCCATTCAAACTGCTGTTATCATTCCTTATTACAGGAACTAAGGAAGACACTGGGAAATGTGACTTAAGGTACCAGAGAAAAGAGCTGAGAACTTCTGCACAGAAAACAGGTGTTGTATCATACTGTTATATCTCTTTGTGATTCAAGAACACTAACACTGTAGGATAAATCATTTCTTCAGACAAGTTTGTTTCCATTGCTGATTTTGGCATCAAGGAATGCCTGAAAAACTTCCAATTTACTGACAGGATTCTAAAAATAACCACTAGTTATAAAGGCTATCCTATGTCATCTGTTTTTTAAATCTGGGATTGTAGAGGTCAGCAAGACTAGTCATAATGTTTTTTTATCTATTTCAGGAGATAGGGAAGGTCTAAATGAGATCTCGTAGCCTGTCATTTTGATTAAAATAGATAGTGTGATCTCTAAATAAAATACCAGCAATAAATTTTGAATAATAAATACAATCCACAGCATCTTATACATAATACCTTTTTTACTCATCTAATTTGAAATACAGAACTCTAGAATTCTTATACCTGTCTTCAAAGAGTATGTGCTCGTAATAATTGTGCCTGTCTTCTCCTGGCTTACACATTTTTAGGTGACAAAAGAATTCTACATTGCATTTCAAAAGTGATTATAAAATAATTTATATATAACTATTATGACTTGGCTATCCTTTTCATAATAATCCATATTGATTAATTTACCCTTTTACCATTAGCAAAACTGAATTTATGTTTCTGTGAAATTATTCACAGGAACATTGAAGAATCTCTTTTGGTTCACTTACCCATTGTTCACATTCCATCTTTGTATGGATTAGCTAAGCGACAGTTTGATTTGTTTGGCCTGGGCTAAGTGCAAACCCATCAAGCTGGTTTATTCAACAAGCCAGCATTTTCTATAGTTTAACATGTAAATCAGCCTATATGAAGATTAAGTAGGAACAAGGGCCAGCTCTTAATGGATCACTTTATCTACAAGGCCATTTTGTTTCCTATTCCTATTCTTTCTAATTAAAATTATAGCTTATCTACAACAACCACCACCACCACCACCATCACCTGCTACAATAAAGTCCCAAGTAGCGTAGGGAGAACATGACACATTTTTTTTTCTGTATCCATGTCTTCCCAAGCATTTCTCACAAGAGCCCCTGTCAAACTTAGCTTTCTAAGACATCATTTTTAGGAATAATTTTCTGAAGTGACAAACACTATAGGGAAATCTGTGCTAACAGTTAAAAAACCTGCAACTGAGTTATTTGCAGTACTGTCATGCTAACTTCCAACTCAATAAGACCAAAGAAATCTCTGGGGAAGACTCTGCTAATAGCTTCTTACTGACCTCCTTGAAGCACAGTCTTCTGCTGAATAGCGCACAGTAGTGAATATGGTAAATGAGGTGTAAAAGCTCTGTTGGTATTCCCTCCTCACTTAAAAAAAAACCCCTATGATTCTGACTCACTAGAAAAAGAAACATGGAGCTACAGAAACTATTTCTAGTTTTCTGCCCTAGAATTTTCTCTTCACCCATGCATGATCCATAAGCATTATTAATTTTACCAGATCCTGAGCTTATGAGCAAATGTATCATTTGTTATTCAGCCATCCTTAGCATTACATTAATATTTTGAATCATTTTAATGTTTCATTTTGCTTTCTTCATATAATTTTAATCGTGGTAATGAGAATGGCATGCAAATAAAAAAGAAAGGATTTGCTGGAAAGAACCAGGTTAAATGGATATAATGTGTAAGATTTTCACTCCTATGGTTTTTTTCCAAACTGAGTAGATAATTTGTAAGGATCCAAGTTCCTAATTTCCCTTTGATGATAATAAAGAATTATGATATTTGCATTGATACATAAGGATTATTAACAGTTTAAAAACAGAATACTGTATTAGGAAGAATATGTTTAAGCTGATGGTTGCCCAGCATACAGAAATATACTAGAAGCAGAATTACCAGTTCTCCAATGTTCTGCTAATTGGGCAGAGTCTAGAGAGCTTTTGAGTATGCAATCAATTGATTCAGGGACAAAAATATGTCCACATACATAAAAACTTTAGCTACTGCAAATTCTAACAGGTGCTTAACAACAGCTTTAAAATACATTTTAAAAAGCATTCATAGAAGCCTTTCTTCCTCAAAACATAGCAATTAATTAAATGCTGGCAGAACATCAAAGTAGCCAATTCAGACTGAACAGATCATACTTGTATTATATGTGGAAGGAACTAAGCAATTAAAAGACTTTTTTTTTATACAGACCTAATCTACTGTAACTAGTCTGGGATAATAGGACATTAACCTATAAGGCTTAACCATGTAATAGCTTGTCTAACTATGGTTTGCTTATCTAAATTTATCCAAGAAAAGTTTTTTCTTTATTTTCCAGCTCAGTTGTTTAAAAATGGAACATTGTAATAGTTTGCTGATCATTTATGTGTTTTAACCATGAACTATTTATGTGTGACTCTAAAAGTTTATCGTTAGTTTGTTTCTTTGTGCAAGATAAGTCACCTACCAGAAAACAAGGGTAAGAAGCAAAAACAGATAGCAAAATGAAACTACTCTACAGACTAATCTGCTCTTACTGATATTTTTATTTCCATCTTAGTTTGTTTGACAAGAGCCTGTTCCCACCTTCCTAAGCCTCACAAATCATAACGCCTAACTTCTCTTCTCCTATTAGAGGAAAGGGAGATTTAAAGGGATCACAACAGTTATAATAGCATCTCAGCTTGAAGACATGTACAAAACGCCACTTCACTCCCTATGGGATACCTTGACTTTTTCATCCCCAGAACTGGAGATAAATACCTTGCAAAGTGGAGAGTTTTTATTTCTTTTGCGAAGAATATCTTCTGAAAGTTATTCTCTTGCTCTTTTTTTATTTTTGTTTTGGTCATTCCAAATCATAACTGCAAGATCCAACAGTGACTACAAATAGGTATTACTAGTTGAGATGTTCTTCTCACTAGGATCATAAAATTTACATACTGTATACAGTATGTGTATATGCTAGACATACCTGGCTCCCTCATCTGTTCTTCATATGGTTTAATCTCCAGTTCCTTTATCAGCTTTATTGCTCTTCTTTGCACATTTTCTAGGGTTTCAGCATCTTTTTTGCATCATGGTGATCAGAACTGTACACAATATTCCAAGTGTGGCCTCACTAGTACAGTATAAAGCAGCATTATCACTTTTTGTGATCTTGATGCTATCTCTCTGTTGATGCAGCCCATGACTGCATTGCCTTTTTTTGGCAGCTGCAGTACATGGCATACTTAAGCGGTGGTCCACAAGGACACCTAGATGTTTCTCACAGTTAATACTGTTAGCCAGGTACCACCTATTAGGTACCTCTGCATTTGATTTTTCCTGCCTAAGTGTAAGACCTTACTTTTCTCACCACTGTATTGCATCTTGTTGGATAGAACCCACTGCCCAAATCCTTCTGGATCCTGAGCCTATCTTCCAAAGTATTATTTCCCCAGCTTAGTGTCATCTGAATGTTTGAGGAGTTTCCTATCCCTTCTAGATCATTTATGAAGATATTGAAGAGTATTGAGCCCAAGACTGTTTTTAACAAACCCATGCTGGCTCTACTAATCACCTTGTTCATTCATGGGTACTTTGTAGGTTCTCACAAATCTTCCTCTTGATTATCTTTTCCAGGATTTTACCATATATTGATGTTAAGCTGATTAACCTATAATTCCTTGGATCCATGTATATATATCACATAATAATGTTAAAAAGTTTATAATTTTGTGTGGCTGCATTAGTAGCTGTCCAGGGCCAAATGTGACCAGTGGGCTTGTGGTGGAATTCTAAAGTATGAGATCAAAGTAGTGAATCAAGTTTCACTGATATCTAAATGACTGTGGAGACCTGCATATAGAGGTCTAGGAAAATATGTTTGCAACACTTAATATTCCATCATCTAGTGTAGAAGACAATGAATATCTTAAAGAAAGATCACCATGTA